AGGGAATTCACTTCTTCAACTAGTTCAGGGTCTCTAGTTGTATGGATTTCATTGGATTTCTACACCAGGTCACCAGTGGAATCCACAGCTTAAAGTTGAAAACGGAACATCCCTCATGGAACGAACGAGAGTTTTGGCCTTCAGGAGCTGCGTCCACGACTGTGTCGCCGTCACGGGCCCTCAGTGGACCCAACGCTCTGAAGAACCGGTGGCCCAGGCGAGCCCTTCCCCCAAACCAGAGCGTGGCACAAGGGGATGACACTCCTTGAGAACTAAGAATAAGGAAGTGGAGTTCACCAACTGCTTGGCATTTGGATGAATTTGGATGTATTTGGATTTCATGGTCATGCGAACTCGGGGCCATGCCATGCCATCCACGACTTCGGATCATTTCAGTTCCTCCTAGTCCTAGTGGTTTCTTCGTGGTCCTCCCTGCTGGAGAGTGAACTCCAACGAGTGGACGTTCCAACTCGGAATGTTGAGATCCGGTCGCTTTTCGTTTACCCCTTTTCTCAAGTGTGACCGTACCCAAGTGACTTCAAGTGACCGTTCCCGGTCAGAATCCCGGGTACCTTTCTCAAGTGCAATTCACCTTGGATGCTCTCACTTTCCTGGACCCCGTCCGCCTCTTCGGCCTACGCCAGTCTCCTTGGCCTACCAGGGGGGGCTCCTTCTTGCTACGCCAACGCCTTAGGTGTCAACACCCGGCGGTGCGCTGGCCTTGGTGCATCTGGCTGCAGGCGAGAAAGGGTCGCGAGTGGGTGCCAGAAGCATGGCCGATGGTTTTGGCGGCCAATCCGAGGGTTGTGGTGGATCTGCAGAGATGTCCAATGAACCAAGTTGCATCATCAGTAATTGGCAGAGATGAATGTGTATGAAAATAGGGATCTCCCAGTTCGACCCGCTGGAAGAAGGAAAATAGACAAAAACCCATTGGTTGAGCAAATCCCATGCTAGATGTCAAGGCTTTGAAGTTGCCCACATGATCTGAGGGACCTCCTGCTTGTTTAGACAACTCTTTTGACTCTTTAGGTTTTTCTCTGCAACTTTTGGTGAAAGTTACCTTCAATTTGTGCAATTCCACTTGGCCAGCTACCTTCGGACCCTCACCTTCATCCCTTCATCTACATTCAGCCGCCTAATTACTCCTCCCATTATGTGGCGCTTCTCATCCTGCCCGCGGACTCTGCCGGGGAGACCCGTCTGAGACCGCGCCAGACTTCACGGTGCTCAAGGAGGAAGCGCTGTGCACGTCCGGACGATGCCGCTCAGCACCGTTGAGGCCGTCGGAAGTTTTTCTTACCTTGGAGGAGCTAAGTCAAGAGATGCCAACATGTCCAATGCCATTGTTGGGTGGCTTAGATCAGTAGATCAGATAGATCGATCAAAACGGTGAAGCTCCCGTTGGAACAAGGCATTGTTTCTATGATTACCGTATGTCTTTGTGTATTTATTTGCAGACCTCGCATCATGAGTCTGCGTGTGTCCAGCCCACCTCGGACGATGCCAGCGGATGCCTCGGCAGCCAAGGCCTTGATTTCACCCTTTGCTGGGGTCCACACGGCGAGTACGTGGCGTCGCTCGGCAGAGAACATCGCTGGCCACGGAGGTCCAAGGCTCAAGCCAAGACCCTAGTGGCCCTAGTGGAGTAGTTGGAGTGAGGTTTCTTTGCCCCTTTCCAAGGCTGGATGGGGCATGTTTGGGCACCGTGGGGCACCGACCCGATCCAGTGGGGTTTGCAAAGAAGTGTAGCAAAGAAGTATATAATATCTTAAAGCATTCAGAGATTGATCAATTTAGTCATCAAGAATGGTTCTCGGAGGAACTTGACAAGGGCCAGCCCTCTCAGAGGTCCAAGATACGGCTATCACCCACCGTGCTTGAGCTCCTGGTGTTCAAGCATTCTTGGCAGAACTTTGCCGCCCCCAAAAAAGGGACACACACAATCACACACACACACATTTCACATGATTTCATCACTTTTCAACCATTCTTTTCCCACACTAACATACGAAAAGGGCACAGCTTTTCCCGGTTGGACTTCAAGAAGTCCTCTTCACTCGCCGATCGAGTCGGTTCGTGCACTCCGGTCAGTGAGGTCGATCCGCGAGCCCCGTTCGATCGGGTTCAGTGGGAGTTCGGTTCACGCGCGTGGTGTTTTTCTGGTCCTTTCAGGGATCGTGGTGCGGCGCAGGTTCTATCAGATTCTATTTCATGGGTTCATGGTGTAGTGCATGGATCGTAAGTTAGTAAGAACTAGTATTATACATACCTTGTATGGTCGTTTTGGAAAACCTCGCGGCCCTTGTGTAAGTCACTTTCCGATCCATGGATGGTTTGGGCATGGGAAATCCATGTGCATCAGGTTCACGGCCGTAACGGAGTCACAAAACACGGCGTCCGGAACCTCAAGGGAAACGACAGCGGCAAGTGGGGGGGACACGCGGTGACACCCGGCATCATGCATCATGTGATGTGACTTGGTTGAGCTTCCATTTCCAACAGATTCCATACAATCACCCGGTAGTATATACACATTCCACAAGCAGCACGGCGTAGAACGTGTCCCATCGCGTTTCCGGTCACAGTTTTCCAGCCTTCAGACTCCATTCACCACTGGATGTGCCTTGAAATGAGCATCCAACTGTCCCACACCCACCGGTGTTCGTGACATGTTGATCAACATCCGCGACATCCGCTGGAGCCGGAAGCTAGACTCATGTAGTGCCAGCCCATCAGTTCCAGCAATTCTTGTTGCCTTCAGCGCCCCCCAAACCGCATGCCTTCACTGCCCAGATCGGCACATCTCAATGTGCCACTGTTCGTCATGGGCGCCACCCAGGCTGGTCATCACGCCTACGAAGTCAATGAGACGGCCGCCACTGGTGCGGCAGCGCAGGAGAGATGGGGAGGTGAGCTGGGGCAATGGAGGGGGGGGCTACACCCCTGTCTCCAACATGGAGGTGGAGTTCAACGCTGTTTGTGGAGGAAAGTCCTCTTCCTAATGCCCTAGGGACCATACGATCCAATATGATCCAATTCCATGATTGTTGGAGGGAGGGTGAGGGGGGGGCTGTCGGTGGCTAGAGGATCTGGAGATGGAGGTGAAGCTACTAGCTCCTTTCTTCTACAGGTGAAACGATTCCCAGTGAAACGATTCCCAAGAAAGTTTTTAGCTACTAGTAGCTTCTTGTTACTAGTAGCGATGGCCTCCAACCTACTTGCGATGGTCTCCACCTAATAGCGCCCTTGCTACTAGTAGCTACTAGTAACAAGAAGCCACTAGTAGCGTCCTTGCCCCCGGCCGATCGAAGCCCCCCAGAGGTCGATGTCGGTCGATGGCAATTGATTTGACCGCCCTCAAGTGTGCCAAGAACTTCCTGCCAAAACATTGCGAACCAGGGGAAGATGGGAAGTCATCTCAGGGTGTTGAATCATGTTGCCATATGTTTAATCAAGTGGCCGCTTGGCCAAAGCATGCGGGGGAACTGCCCTTCTGATTGGTTTGGCCTCAGAAAATCTGTGACCCGCTGTGTTCTGATTGCCACCTTTATCTCATCCCTACCATATTTGGTTATACGTTTTGCGTTGTGTGCGTCATCCCGAATGTGTTTGGAAGACGGCAAGCTCCGTCCACCAAGTGGATGGCCTCCGTGCACCATAAGGTGATCCCACTCATCCCCTTCCTGACCCCGTACTACCTGTGCAGAACTGAGATCTTTAGGAGATGGCTCTTGTGGAAAAACCAGGCTCAGGAAAGTTCCGGAACTGGCGAGAGACGCAAGGTTCCGAGTAATTCATCGAGCATAGGGAGCGCACGAACTCCAAACTGTCAGGCTCTTCACCAGGTCCAAGAGGGAAGAAAAAGCAACACATAGCAACACGTTTTTGTTAGGGGGAAGTCGGGGCATCCCTGCACATGTCCTTTTCGACATACTGCGTGGAGACCTTTGTTGTGCCCCCCCTAGGCAACACAGCAGCTTGATTCAATTTCGATTTGTCGCACTCGGGCTCCTGTTCAGCAGCAGTTACGATTTCAAGTGCTACCTGTTAGCCTGACATGATGACAGCAGGACGAGCTCGACTACTCCCCTATGTGTTTGCTATTGGCGCTTGCACCTTCCTGGTGTCAACCTTGAGTTTTGTGTCGTCACCCGCAACGACAGTAGAACGCAGCCGGGCTTTGCGTGCTTTGCCACAGCCTGGAGCCAAGACTGAGGAGAAAAAGCAGGAGAGCAACGGGGGAGAGTTCAAGATGCCCAAGCCTGACATGGGCCTGATGAACCGACAGGCCAGAGTTGGACAATCCGTTGACCAAGACAGGCGTGGAAACATGTGGTCTGTTGAGCCTGCAACAAGGATTAGAACAGATGATGATGGGGGCGAGCTGCTTCCAGCAGGAATCTACTTCCCTATCGTCATTGTGATCACCATCGGCAGCATCGTTGTCCTCGCTCAAGTGCTGGGCAACGACGCCCGCTTCGGTGGCATGCTGGGCGACGATGCTCGCGGCATCAACGAGTGGGGCTAAGAACATCCCCACATTTGAGCGCTGCAGAATTTCCGAACGATTTTCAATCTCACCGTGAGCAGTAGCAGTTGAAGGTAGTAGCACATGTCAATAGTATTTAGTATAGCATTTGTGATTCCAATGTGTTTGCTGTTAAAGGTCTAAAGCTTGTGATGATGTTGCATGCTCACTTTACTCACGTGCGATCGATTTGTTTTCAGGGTGACACCTTTGAGAGTCAGCTCCTTCAAAGGCTTGAACACACAAAAAGAGAAACTGCATGGATGATACGAGTGTCATGTGGCTTTGCAGTTTCATTTGAGCTTCTTTAGATGGATCATGTGGGGTTCACTGCTGTCGCTTGACATGTTTGTCAAGAGATGACTCTTTGATGTTTTTTTGCATGCATTAGCCATCATTAACCTATACCGATACCCATCTTGATTGCTTGCGCATGTTTGGGCAACTGCCACCTCCCGCTGTGATGTTGAAGCTCATTTGGTCCATTGCTCAGGGACCTCCCCTGCAAATCCTTTGCCTCCCATGGCGCGGGCTCAACTGCTCCCCTATGTGCTTGCTATTGGCGCTTGCACCTTCCTGGTGTCAACCTTGAGTTTCGTATCGTCACCAGCAACGACAGTAGAACGCAGCCGGGCTTTGCGTGCTTTGCCACAGCCTGGAGCCAAGACTGAGGAGAAAACGGAGGAGAGCAACGGGGGAGAGTTCAAGATGCCCAAGCCTGACATGGGCCTGATGAACCGACAGGCCAGAGTTGGACAATCCGTTGACCAAGACAGGCGTGGAAACATGTGGTCTGTTGAGCCTGCGACAAGGATCAGAACAGATGATGATGGGGGCGAGCTGCTTCCAGCAGGAATCTACTTCCCTATCGTCATTGTGATCACCATCGGCAGCATCATTGTCCTCGCTCAAGTGCTGGGCAACGACGCCCGCTTCGGTGGCATGCTGGGCGACGATGCTCGCGGCATCAACGAGTGGGGCTAAGCACATCCCCACATTTGAGCGCTGCAGAATTTCCGAACAATTTTCAATCTCACCGTGAGCAGTAGCAGTTGAAGGCAGTAGCACATGTCAATAGTATTTGTATAGCAGTTGTGATTCCAATGTGTTTGCTGTTAAAGGTCTAAAGCTTGTGATGATGTTGCATGCTCACTTTACTCACATGTGATCGATTCGTTTTCAGGGTGACACCTTTGAGAGTCAGCTCCTTCAAAGCTTGAACACACAAAAAGAGAAACTGCATGGATGATACGAGTGTCATGTGGCTTTGCAGTTTCATTTGAGCTTCTTTAGATGGATCATGTGGGGTTCACTGCTGTCGCTTGACATGTTTGTCAAGAGATGACTCTTTGCTGCGGTTTTGCATGCATTAGCCATCATTAACCTATACCCATCTTGATTGCTTGCGCATGCTTGGGCAACTGCCACCTCCCGCTGTGATGTTGAAGCTCATTTGGTCCATTGCTCAGGGACTTCCCCTGCAAATCCTTTGCCTCCCATGGCGCGGGCTCAACTGCTCCCCTATGTGCTTGCTATTGGCGCTTGCACCTTCCTGGTGTCAACCTTGAGTTTCGTGTCGTCACCAGCAACGACAGTAGAACGCAGCCGGGCTTTGCGTGCTTTGCCACAGCCTGGAGCCAAGACTGAGGAGAAAACGCAGGAGAGCAACGGGGGAGAGTTCAAGATGCCCAAGCCTGACATGGGCCTGATGAACCGACAGGCCAGAGTTGGACAATCCGTTGACCAAGACAGGCGTGGAAACATGTGGTCTGTTGAGCCTGCGACAAGGATCAGAACAGATGATGATGGGGGCGAGCTGCTTCCAGCAGGAATCTACTTCCCTATCGTCATTGTGATCACCATCGGCAGCATCATTGTGCTCGCTCAAGTGCTTGGCAACGACGCCCGCTTCGGTGGCATGCTGGGCGACGATGCTCGCGGCATCAACGAGTGGGGCTAAGCTGTTTCAACTTTGTGTACTTGATGCGAGGGGTGGCTTGTTACTTGTTCAATCATCACGTTCTTGATCATTAGATTAACTACACTAGTGCTTGCTGCTCGGCCGCCACCACTGTAGTTTTCTCAGTTTTCAAGCAGCCGACCATGGCTTTGCTTCCGTCGTGCCCGTCTGACTTTGAAGGTCTCAGCTGGGGAAAATGGTCCCAGTCTGGCTTGCTGCTAGGTGTGCTCCAGTCTGTGCTCCACCTTTTGACCTTGAAGAGAGGAGGGCTCAAGGGTCAAACATGTCAAAAGGCTATCACACGATTTCCTCATGATTTTCCCATGCTTCCCTTTGGACTCTTGCGGCAGGATGGTCGATTTGTTATATCCAACTGATTTCTGCCAGTCGCTCGATCCATCATTTGGGCCTCTCTTGCTCGACGCTTGCTCTGTCAGGTGCCCGTCGCCATGCGGTACCCGCTTGGCTTTCCTGGGCAGCGTCAAGAACCAGCAGGTGCTCCGCCAAGGACCCTGTTCTGGTCGAAGCTACCGGGCCTCAATCGGGCGGGGTGAGTGGCCGCCCAGCAGCGGTGCGTTTTTCGGGTGGGTGTCCCACCAACCGTGTCCGTGCTTCACGAAGGAAACTGGAGCTTCAATGAGACCCCTTGCCCCGATAGGTGTCTCCCGATAGCCGAGAGGTGTTCGATGGCCTGTTTGAATTGCCCCGATAGCATGGTGAAGGCGAAGGTCCAATCCGTTTAACTTTCGAATCTTCGGAGCCACCTGGGGAGGGGGTGGTGTAGATGCCAATGCGTGGCTGTGTCCTTTTCGGATTTCCATGCACCGGTGGTTGAAATTGAAGATAACGCCATGGGTCGGTGTTTTTTGAGATTTGACATTGAGATGTTGGCGTGCTTTTGCGGCCACCCATGTTTCAGACTTGTGACTGCATCTGCCTTTTTTTTCTCTATTGTTTGTGCCATTTCTAAACCTCCAAAGCCCCTTTTTCCTGTTCCTGAGCCATACCACAGTGCTTAAGTGGTTCACCATTCACGGTGACCTATCCATTTTTTATCTATGTGTCTATCATTATTTATCATTATCTATCTATCTATTTGTTTGTATGGCAGGTCTTGATGGTTGCAGATCTCTCTCCGCTCCTCATCTCCCTGCCGCAGGCACGATGGTCGATCGCATGGCCCTTTGTTCTGGGTTTCCAGACCGCTGTTAGACCTGGCCCAAACACACATACACCGACACACCAACACACACGCACATGGATTCTGTTCATTTTGGGCCCCGAGCATATGTGATCATGTCAGTTTCCATTAGGTCCCTATTCGGGAGGGGTTCGAACCTGTGGCAGGAACAGGCTGATGACCCCCGACATGGACATAGACTGATGACCGCACTCCTTCGTTGTTTCTTGGGGACCTCGTTTTCGTCACAGTCTTCCCAGGATGTTGACGGATCCTCTTCGATATTCTCGTAGTGAAGAATTACGTTACTATTTGTTTTTATGTTTTTTTTCAAACGTGGCATGGCTGGCAGCGCAAGTGCAGGCAGTTGCTCGAGTGAAGTGCCTGGGCAGCGTCTCTCGACAAACAAAGGTATGAACCCGGCACCGACGGTGACACCCTTGGTACGGCAACTGATAGGAAACACAGCAGCAGTAGGTGACCCTGTCCCAGAATTGCTATCAGGGAAAACCTACACAAAAGCCATAGTTTAGGGTGAAAGCAAGGGGGTTCCTACATACAGGCTTTCCCTGAAACCAATTCATGGACCCTGGTCTACTAGGCACCAGTGGATTGTGCAGAGAAGAAGACTCTATTGAAGTGGATCTTTGAAGAACGGCACCCAAGCCTAAGCCCGAACCTATTGCGAATGGCAGATCCAGATGCTACAAACCTCGAGAAACCCATGAATATATGACTTGATGACTTGAACCTATTGCAAAATGACAGCCGTGGGACGCCAAAGCAGAAGATTGGGAGAGAGGGGCTTTGGTTGACGTCACCTGTGCCATTGACATTGACTGTCACCTGTGTGATCCACCTTGTTGGGCACTGCGATGCGGGCGGGATCGCCGGGGCCTGCCACGGTGTCCGAGCATCGGTGTCCGAAGCAGGGCCGCGCACGGCCTCACAAGGCCCAGTGGCAGGTGAACCTTGGGTTTCAAGTCCATGGTGATGATACGATTTTGGGGAGGCAGGTCCACAAGTTGGCACACCACAGGGGCTCATCCCGGACATCATCTCAGGCAGCACCTCTTTATTTCGACTGGGCACCTCATGCGTTGGTGCCTTAGCACTTCTTGCGTTCGGGAGAGGTGCTGTGGTGCTCCACAGGGTGGTGTTTTGATGAGTTTTTATGCATTGTGTCTGTGTCTAGAGGGAGCACTCTCCTCAGGGCTTAGCCAGTGTGTTAACTTCGTTCTGCTGACACACTTCGCTTCTTGCATGGTCATCCATGGTCATATGGTTGAAGGCGCATTTGTGAAAGGCCAATGACTACGAAGCACATGTGTTTGTCATTGGCTTTCAACGATTTCACGCAAGAAAGCAGAATGAGATAAAACAGAGCAAGTCAATACGAATGTGCTCGTTGATGGACTAAGTCCTACACCATGTAAGACATCATAGTTCCAAGAGTGGCCCATCGAAGAGGGACCTCCTTTCGTCTGACCTGTTGCAAACTAACTGCCATCAACTCCGTTCCAAGGTGCATCAGAAACATTGAGAAACCTCAATCGGGATGAATTCTGTACGGGTCAAAGCCAGACCCCAAATTCCTGGCAGGCTGGCTTCCCTAGCAGTCTATTCTGTTCATTTTTGGTGGTCAACCAAGGTGTGTATCCTGGTTTTGACCCACAGCCATGTCACGTCACTCTGTCCACATTTTGTGCCTGCATGGTGTCGTCCAAGTGTGCCGAGTCATTCACAGGTTTTGGTCTGGCAGGGTCGGACCATAACCCCTCAAACTGACCGGCGCGGCTTGGTGTGGAGGCCAGAGCTGCTGGCAGTTTGCCACGAGAAGAAGTTGGCAGCTGCCCAAGGGCAGACAGAGGGAGGGATGTTCAAGGTGCGAAAGATACCCGATGACATCCAAAGACTAATTGGGTCATCAAAAACCATTCAAAAACCATTCAAAACCATTCAAAAAACCGTAATGTTATCAAAAACCATTCAAACACCGTAATTATGGAGATGGGGCCTCAATGACCTCAACTAACTCATGGCCTCAATGACCGTTCCTTAAAAAAAACCCAACTCGCGGTTACGCCCGACACTGCCTGCGGTTACGCCCGTACCGGTCATCGGACCCTGAGAGACAGTGGGTTCTGACCACGTGAGCTGCGACCCCGCCAGCCTCCGAGCGGTCCGACCCCCGCTGAAGACTGGACCTTGGACGCCTTGGACCCTGAAAAACCACTGAACACCGTCTTTTTGGTGCCATTCGACCCGGGTCCAGTTCAGTTTTCTGGAGTGCAACTGAGTGTCCTTTTGCGAAGTGACACACCATGAAGAACGACCCAAAATGCCGTGAGGCTTCTCCATTTCTCCCCTTTGCTCATCCCCTTTCCATTCAGTCCACTTGACAAGATAGAGCATAAACCAGTTTGGTAGATTGATAGTGTTTCTTGAAGCCAGGAACCTGCACTTGACCCCCCGACAAAGACGAACTCCCAAACGGTTCCAAGTGATAAGACCTGAAGAATCTTGTCATCAAAGGAAGCATTCCATCATATTCCATCTCTTCCATAGTCAGAGCCCCAAACAACTCAGATGTTATATATAATATATAGATTTAGATACTTTTCTGCACACCTGCTGATGTTTCAGCAGGTCCGGCTGGTTGCCGAGCTCCCTGTGGGTCAACGCCCATCTTTAAGGGAGCCCACCGAGGCGGGGGACAGCGGACAGCGGATTGAGCGATGCTAATGGAACGCCAAGGATGCATGGATTGGGGGTCTTAGGTCAGCCGGCTTCACCCACCGAGCTAAACCAAGTGGCAGGTGGTTTGCTGAATTGGCAGGGTGGCTTGCTTCTTTCAGCCTTAGCCAGTCAGGGAATCATGAAGTCATCAGCCGCAGGTTTTGATTGGAACAAGGGAGTCTCGCAGGAGGCTGTCCAGATCTGGCCCTTTGGATAGGCCCTTTCAGTCTTTGTACCTAGAATTAAGCACAACATGATGTTTTTGGGGATGGTGCCTTTGCTGTTTCCATCGGAGCAAGTCCACGTGGTCCAAGACACGTGTTTTCACATGTTTTCGGGCCGTGGGGTGTAGTGTTTTTTTTTGTTGGATTCTCCCTTTGGATGACGTTTGAGAACGCCATTTGTTCAGTCTACCTTGAGAAGTGGTGCCTGGCCAGTGAGCGTTCCCACTGGCCAACCGTTGGGGCCCAGGGTCCGAATTCTTGAAACGTCGATCGGGAACTTTCTGACGCATTCCCTCAACAACATCCCCTCTAAGTAAGGGAGGCCGCAGAAGGAAGAATGCGGAAGAGCTTCGCGACAGACTTGCGTGCAGAACATGACGCATGGCCAAGCATGGTTGGCGCACTTGGGCTCACAGCAGTGATTTCAGAGTGAGATAAATAATGATAAATATGAGATGACAGAAGGTGTCATGTGATGCATGCATGGGTTCAATGTTCCCTAGATATCTGAAGATGTACCGAGCATAATTAAACACGCAAATGTTGAGTCTTTCTTCTCCGCCCGGGGCTGACCCAAAGAACTTCCAGTTTAACCTTCCTCCCAGGCCAGGTTGGCCCCCTAGTTCCTGAGCCATTTCTGGAAGAGCTTGACCTCTGCAAGCTTGATGCAAAACACAGAGCTAAACACTGCTGAATGTAAGAGATCCTTTCCCGTGGGATACGGAAGACCCTCATTCAAAACATCGAGTTCAGAGCTAATGCATCACATCGCATTAGGTTATTAGGTTGGAGGCCATCGCTAGTAGTAGGTTGGAGGCCACCGCTAGTAGGTTGGACACATGCTTTCACAACATCGCAGAGCCTTCACCAGAACCACGTGTGGCTATGGAGACGTGGGAACCCCACACCCAAGCATGATCGGAAAGGTTTTGGTCTGTTGGTCCTGTGATATACCTCTCACAGTCGAAAAGCAATTACCGTATCACTAAGTTTTAGAGACAGGCCTTTACTAACCGTCATCATCCACTCTGACTGATAACAGGATAGACCCAAGGAATCGTCCCTTTGTTTCCTTGTCCTGTTCTGGAAAGGACTTGTTTTGACACAGGTAAGTGCTGGGGCCCAGCTAGAGGGACGCAAGAGGGAGTTCGGTGGCGGCAGAGATCTCAGCGTGCTGATGGAATGGATGACGAGGACACCGATCCTGTCCAGGCAGAGAGCTGTAAGAACAGTGTAAGACGTGATGGAAGAATGGATTCATACCAGGACCCTCCTGAAAGATCCTTAAAGGCTGTTGTCGGACCACAGCGCCTGGCTCTCTCATCGCAAAAAGCACTTGTTGGTATCCAGACTTTGATACCGCCTCGGCGCCGGGCAGATGACCGCGGATCTCGGGCGGATTTGGAGGAGTGTGAACGTCACATCTCCAATGCTCACCCAGATCCTTGAACCACTTTGATTTGATCGAATCAGAAGAATCGAGCCAGCTCAAGCCCATGGACCCATGGAATCCATGGAAGCACACCCTCATGTTAAAATACCCGTCTTCAACTTCACAAACCACCCTCAACCAAGAAGAGACCCTTGTGTTTCATGCTATTTTGTGTCTTGTATTCTTACATGTCCGATGAACATTTTGTGGACATCAGGAAGGGGCTCTTTTCTGTTCTGCCTAGGTTTTCCACCATCTTCTCCATCTTCCCTTGTGAGTTGAACATCCAGTCTTGCAGCAACCGCCACAAGAAGCCGCACTCGCAGCTGCGAGGCCAAAGCTGCCTTGCAACAAAAGCAGCGGCAGGCTGAGCAGGTGGATCCCCGCAAAGCGGGTGAAGGCGGTTGGGAGCCAAAAGATGTTTACATGATATATGGCAGTGGTCACGGCGATACCGACCGGCTGACCTACCTGGTGTCGGTCGTTCGCTAGATGGTGGACCAGGGCTTCAGGTTTTGACCCATCCCCTATATGATTACTTCACCAACAAAATGGGGCTTCACTGGGACGTTGGGGGGGATGTTGTGACTTGAAGCGTTGCAGGTGTTGTGTTTCTGAAACGGTAAGAAGGCGGATAGATGGAAGCCTTCAAACATCTTCAAGCTACTTTCAAGACGCAATTTTTGGGAAGTTGTTCCCAAGCATTTGCCCGCCACTGCATCATATCCATTTCATCATGCGTTCCCTTCTCTAAGTCTCTAAGTCTCTAAGTGTTTGAAGATGCATTGGCGCTGGCCCTGAAAGACCAACACCGGACTTCACCTCCCGTGCGCCGTGCGTGTGGCACTTTTCGCTGGACATTGCCAGGCCCATCGCCGTATCAAAGAGCTGGAGCAGGAGAAGAAATATGGGAGGAAGATGGAGGAAAAACAGATAAACCATATGTTTTAAAACCAGTCCCGTAATGAGGGGGGATGGCAGACGGATGAGTTCGACTGTGTGGCCGCTAGTCCTGATCAGGACTAGGAGGGATCTCACCTAGGAGTCGACTCACACGTTTGATCCCGTGACACGTTGGGAACCTTGGAAAGTCGAAAGAGAAGGAGCCACTGAAGAGAAGGAGAGTCATGTTGGGAGAGGAGAACTTGTTGGCACGGCTGCGACATGTGATGTTCGCAGCTCACCAACCTAGGTGGTGCAAAAACTACAAACGGTACACTCATCCAGTGGGGGTGTTTCTCATAAAAGTTTAAGGAAACAACCACGTGGCACCCAACTCTTCAGAAGACGATGACCTCAAGACTCTCAAACAGAGCAACTGAAGTTTAGCTTCTCATCTAGCTGTCCAGCTTCTCAGGAGCTGCTGCATGTCGAGGAACATGTCGCAGGCGCAGCCGGAAGATGATGCACATGCACATCCATGCACGTCCGCGTTCGGATCCATTTGGCGGCCCTGATCCCAGTCGCGAAAAGAACCCAAAGAACGGATGAACCAAGAACATCCAAGAACTCACCTCCTCAGCCGACCTCACAACTGTTCCTTTGTTGGCCCAGAATGCCCGCCACTTGAGATGGTCGCCGCAGGTAAGTGGTGTTGTTTGGACATGTCCGGAACGGGGATGGAATGCACCTGGTGGAGACCTAATGGGTGGCCACTGCATTTCTACAATTTAGATGTCTGAAATCTCTTAAAGATTACTGACAGCAATTAGTAAGTTTGCCTGCCTTACCAAAACATACCCAAAATGTGACAGCTACCACTGCAGCGAAAAATTCCGCCTCATCACCTGCCATCTCCGTTTCCACGCTGCGAGGCTTGGAGGAGGAGCTGCGGAAGTCGACGAGCCAAGCAGCGCGCGCGGCGGCGGACTTGGTCAGTGCCAAGGATCAGGCGAGGTCCTCGTGAGCCTCACATTGTGTCACATGGGGAGGAGGGAGATATGCGGTGGAGGAGCTGATATGGTTCCAACATGATAGGTGAAGATTTGATAGTTTAGACTCAGTTTAGACGGTTGACATTGTAAAACCACCCATTTTCAGAATGGAATTGCAGTTTCAAGCTTGGGGGAATTAATCAGACTTTCTATGGGGAGTTGCCTTAGGGACGGCAGGTGGAACTTCAGTTCGAAGGGAGCGAGTTCCCAACGTGGTGGGAAGTGTCGGCAACCAGCTGGGAGTGCTTCCAACTACATGTTTGAACCCGATTCACGCTACTCCCTGGATCAGCGCACCTTGCAACAGTGCTCCAACAGGGTGTGGTTAAATGCGGGCAGAGGCTCATGGTCTAAAAACTGTTTGTGTTGGCTTAAGCTGCAGAGGAGGATCACAACGCCCACAGAGTCCTTATCCTGCTCTGGCTGCATGAAGCTTGATGGAATTGGACCATGGTACCCCAATCCGTAGCTTTGTAAACCGCCACAGAGAAGCACCTTTCCCAGGATCACGGCACCTCCGAAACGCGCACTCCGAGCACGCCGATCCGCTGGGCCTCCGAGAGCATCCTCCAACCCCTTCCTCCAACCCCTTTGGGACCCCGGGCAAGCGCCCCAGCATCGCTGGCACGCCTGCCGACCGGAGGTCTCGCAGCTCGAGCGAGAGCTGCGGCTGCGTGAGGAAGGGGACGAGCGTTCCCCACCACGAGGTGGGGCTGGGGTCCGACTGGGGTGGGATGTGGCCCACGTTGCTTCAAACACCCGAGAGGGTGTGAAGATGTGTGAAGTGTGTAGGATGCAGTGGAAAAATGCGTTCATTGTATGTTTAAGATTTGTGATGTATGATCATCCAGGATATCCATGATATTAGATAGAGTTTTCTTTTTTGTTTTATTTGTTGAAGGATGCTGTCGTGTTTGACGCTGTTTTTGGAACTGATATTGAATTTGGAGCCCAGGTCGAAAGTTGGACCGTTGTCAGACCGATGGCGTAAGGGACTTGGACTGGGCCAAGGCAGCGGCGGTTTGCGTTGGGGGGGTTGCACGGGGCTATACAGCGCTACTGTTGGGTGGTTTCAGATATTTGGTGTTTAAACCATGTTCAACCGTTAGTTACTTGGGATGATGGATCATATTGATCCCACTGACTACTCTTCAGGTGGGCTGTTGTTTTGGGCTGTGTGCAGTCGAAGCCGTCCGGGAGAACTTGGGTGGTAGGCAGATCAAGTTCTTGTGCGGCCTAAGCCCAATACCGGGGTTTGGCGTGTTTTTGACTCCAGTGTATTGGAGTGATTGGTTATATTGCACAAAGTAATGGGCCTGTGAGAGGTATCGCCGTTGCTGAAACAACCTGTTTAAGTTTAAAAAGGTGAATCCAATCTATAAGAAAGATGGACAACCAGGTCCAAACTCAGTTCTTATGGGTCATAATTCTATAGTGATTGCATAAGACATGCACGAGTGTATCATCATTTATTGCATGACATGCACGCTTCAACTTGCACGAGAAGGAAGTTTACGAAAAGATGCGTTTCGCTTCGACGGTTGGCAATTCTCAGCACAACGAATCAGGACGACTTTCATGTAGGCCGGACGTTAGTAAGGCTGTGGCCACAATGTTATCCTGAAAATATATCAGCAGATATAGATTGAACAGGTTTTGCTCTATTTAATGTTGGAACACAGCAAGTACTTTTTGTAATCTTTTGTACAACTTTGCAACAAGGGAAGTGGCTCATGGAAACCGACAACATGTACTGTACCAGTACTGTGTTTGGTTTGAACACCCGGGTATTTACACCTAAATTGTGTGGTAACACACGGCCAGATGCCTTACAAAGAAACATTTGATGATTAAAAAAATCATCAGATAGTTTTAGTCAAGGTTCGGCCTATACTAATAGAAAGTAGCTTAGTTCATGTTCATCAAGTGTGGTACAACATTGGCAAACAACGCATCACCTGTTGATTTATTTAACTGTATGAATAATGCAGCAGCTGTGCATTATATGAGGTTATAAAGAAATTCCTTCGGTATGTTCGCATTTTCTTCACATTAAAGCAACGGGACTATTTCCTGTGAAGCAGACACAACATCTCCTGCAACTTTTACATCGCACGTTTCTTGCATATCATTCCAACATAGTAGTGATAGCGATGTTACCAGTGTTTTCGAGGGCTTGTTCGTTACTACAAATGGATGTGCCACAACAATTGCAGATGATAAAGCACATGAATAGAAAAGGTGCTAGATCTCATCAATGATCACTATATAGAATGGTGAAACTTTAAGCACCACGATTATATATGTTAAGAATATTGTATTCATTAGGAAAACGTTAGCCGTAGCCAGTTTGTATCAAGAGCAAAATCAGTGAAGCTTGCTTCTAAAAACAATACTATATTGCGTGCTCAAAATCTTAAACTGTTTTGTTGAAAAGTGATGATAATCACAACTTAGCATATACAATTCCAGGAAATAAACGTTCATGTTACCAGTCGAACATTCACATAGGATATGTATTGCAGAGAGGTATGGTTTGCAAATCACTGATGTCACTTCGTGCTCATGTTTCGGTCTGGTTGGTAGGACATGAGTGTCACTTCTAGGTTGAGGTGTTCAGCTTTGAGTTTCGATCGATCGATTTTATTTTTCAATTTATGTTTGCCATTTTGGCGATGAGCGCCTCTCGAGCACCGCCAGGTCAAATTGGCCGGTTCAGGTTTTCTTAGGTTGGGCCTGGGCGGTGCTCGATGGCTGGATCCGAGAGTCGCTGGCCAGCGGCTTTTGAGAGACAGAGGCGCATGGCAAACGCTCGTTGGGAGGACACATCGTCCATGGCATCCTGGGCCAATATCGAAGAGGAAGTTGAACAACCAGCTGGATCCCAGATGCCTCAAGTCCCTGAGAGTTCTGCCGTTCAAGATGATCAACCGGCTCCGGCAGCAGTACCTGTTCAGGTTCCCCCTCCACCACCTCCTGCTGGAGGCCCACAAGGAGGGGATCAAAGCGGCTTGGGTCAAGCTCCTGCTGCCAAGGCAGCGCCAACTCCTGTTCAGCAGGCAGCTCAATCATTGATCAATCACACTCATGACACACCTGCTTCTCGACGGCTTCGAAGACAGCAGGAACAAGCTCAAAGACGAGGTCGTCGAGGCGTTCGCTGGGGGCAGATGGCACCTCAGAATTTAGCTCACAACCCCTTGAATGCCAGCTTGCCAGATCACATTTCACAAGTCGGCTCAGGGGAGGGCGAGCGGTCGATCTTGATCATTGATGGGCGAGACAAGCGTGTCCAGTCACATTTTCAAGGATGGCTGCTCGATGAGGTGCTGACAAACGCTTTGGGCTTTGTCAATGTCCGCTCGGACCGACACTTGGTGAGATCTCCATCCAGCGGATATCACATGAACCTTTTCATGGTCAAGACATTGGATAGTGTCAAGGTCACCATTTGCGGATCTATGACATCATATGCCAATGTCCCATGTGCAAGATGGGACGCGCTGACCGGCTCGGTTCTGGCCCACTCGGCCTTTCAACCGTTCAGGTGGCCTCAGATGACTGAGACTTCAGCAACCTGGGTCGACGTGAAGTTGAAGTTGGAGGGACAGCTCGTCCTCCACCTGGAACTGCGAGGCTATCGCGGTGACGGTGACATGTCGGTTCAATTGTGGCACGTCAGTGACGCGATCCATAGCCTTCTTCAGGACACCGTGTTCGTGCCGGCGTTCGTCGTGACCATCTTCCAAGGCTGGAGAGTGGTGGCAACCTCCTGGGAGGTAGGCGGTCGCCTGTACGCATGTTCAGAAGGAGGTGTTGTTGTGGCTCTGGATTTTCCACTATGTCACGTGGAGGTCCGCTTTGTAGCCACGGCGTCACCAGACTCGTTCGGAGCTGATGCAGACAGACTGGAGTTCAGATTCCTCAGCGCTGCGGACAGGCTCGACGTTGTGGCCAATACTGTTCAGGTGCCACCCACTTGGCTAGTGTGTTCACGCATTTCTGGACCGATGCTCATTCGCAACGCCCGGTGGTGCCGAGATCATTCTGCTCGAGTCGAATGCCCCGATCAGGCTCTTCAGCTTTCGCAGCTGGCTGCAGTCCATGCTCATTGGACTGCGACAACAGAAGCCCCGACCGAGGGCGAGACAGGGCCGAGGATCTCAGCGATCGCTGTGGAGAGCAACCCGATCAACATGCACCTCGTGAGTGAGTCGCCCTTGTTCAGGAAGGAGCGAGTGCTGGTCAAGGCTGAGGCCCTAGCGCTGCATGATCATGACCCATTAGATGAAGTCATTGCCAGTGTCATGCCGCCCGTGGTTGATGGCCCACCTGTTCAGCCAGCCTCTTCGGCACCAAGAATTGCTCAGGCTGCGCTTTCTCATGGCCACTTGGAGGCCTTGTCGGTGACGCCTGTTAGCCATGCTCGGCCTTCTATGACAGACCCGGGTCAAGCTCCGGCGATCAGCTCGGACACAGGGTCAACTTTGGCTCCCTCGGGGCGAACGCTGGAGCAGAGGCGCGCTGATCGCATGGACGGCTCGGCCATGACACCACAGGCCTTCGTGGAAGCCGTCCGGCAGCCAGCTCGTGAGACTCGGGGCGGGCAGTCAGGAGTGAGGATCGAGGAAGTGCACCAGACAGGGCCTCGATCGTTCGCACCAGCTCTGCCTGAAGAGATCACAGAGGTCTGAGAAGGCAGCCTGGTGTTGGCAGCTAATTTTATCAAGTGTGCATTCACCGCTCGTTGGATTGCCAATGAGCTGCTCGTTCACTGAAAAACCGAAGCCCTTTGTTGCAGCTTGGTGGGGTGTTGGGACAGGTTGCCTTGCTCGTGACGTCGATCGCGCGGGTCGAGCGACCGTCTCGCGCCGCCCGCTGCAAGGCGAGATTCCCAGAGGGTTTCGGGAACCGAGGGGCCCGCACGCCGGAGACAGCGTTAGCCTGGTTCAATCAGGGCTGACATGCTCACGTGCGTGAGGGTTGAAACCCTCGTAGTACTGTTCAGTTTACTGATCAGAGTTGAGAGAATGGTCGAACGACGTTAATTTGATGTTTGAGCATCTTTCGATTTTCATTTGTTTCAACGCTTTGTCACTGAACTGCTCGTCTTTCAGCTAGCTTTGAAGGAGTGATCCCTGTGTTGTTCATTTGCTTGGCTGGAGAGGCTCACAGGCATAGGTTTGTTTCGTGAGGCTCCTAGGCCTGAGGGTTCCTCTTTCTAGCCGGGTCACATGGGGCTCCTTCTTTAGTTGCATGGTCATGATCCTCTTTCGAGGGCTCGTGCAACGCTCACGCGATGGCTGAGGTCAGAACACCCAGAGTGCTGTGGAAACCCAGAGGGCTCTCGCCGGGTTGTGTGAACACGTGCTCGATCTTTTGAGGGGGGTTTGTTCGTTTTCTTCGTTCGAACGTCTTTTGATCGAGGCGGTTCACCCCTGGCCTGATGCCTATCTGGTAGGTTTTTCTTTCATCTTTCTCAAGCTCTGATGAGTGTCTTCTCTGCCTCGCTCGAAGGCTCAATTTCTTTGTTCATAATGGAGCCTAGTTCGGATAGGTGGGTGACCAAGATTCTGGCGCTCCCCATTTTTGACCAGCCCTTCGCTCGTGCCATCCATGCCTCACCGCTCGGTACTTTAGCATTCATTGCGGCAATGGAAGTCAAGACAGGACCAGACTTCGCCGATCGGGTGTTGGCTTTGTCGGAGGCACTAGACGTTGAAGTGGTCAATACTTTTCAGGGGAGAGAGGTGATGCTCGAACAAATTTGGGCGCTCGCCTCGGCGGTCGAGAAAGCATACTTCGAGTCGTCAGCTGTTCAAATTGGCTTCGGGCTCTGCGAGCGCAAAGCGCCAGTCGCAACGGATCCGACGGCAGTGCTCCGCAAGCAAGCAGCTATCAAAGGACTCTTGCATCGACCGACGCCCCCACCTAAGAGGATGAAAGTCTCCGAACCATCCAGCTCGTCTACCCCCCTGCTCGATAAGGAGAGAAACGCCAAGTGGAAGTGG